TCATGGAAAAATCTGCTAGGAATTGACACAATTAAAGCGGAACAATCTATTGCAACACTGTTACCCTTTTTCATCGTTGACAATATCCAGTAGAATTTCGCTGGCGCCTTATCTGACTGCTCCGTTTATCACCATATGGCACATTTTAAGGTTGTGTGTTCGGATGGTAATTCGTCGACCGTCAATCGCACCTGTAAGAAATGTCACAACAATTGTTGTGAAATTTCTCTCGATTTCGGTTTCATTCCATTTACCTTCAACCTCCAGACATATATCACGTTACAATACCTCACCAGCTCACGATAAGGTGAAATCCAGACTAGCCAGATGGAATTCAACTTTGCGGTACCATGCATTGTGGAGGGCTTGCTAAGCATTAGATTTTGGCCCGTTATATGCCATTGTTACATAGGCTCATAGATTCACAGTCCATCAGGTGTCGGAAACCACCATACCTATACACAGTTCTTAGCTTTCCTTTTTCGGCTTAAAGTTTGACTTCGCTTCGGTTTAACCTATTTGTTTGTGGTGTTGTGTATCTTCTACTAGCGAGCCAGAAGCCTTTTCTTTATTCTGTAGTCACCTTGCTTCCGATCCCAAGACAAGGTTTCCTACTACAAGTGGGTCGCGTTGGGACCACCTCTTCTCTGCCTTACTCACTGTGTTCGAAAGGTCATGGAATATCTGCGCTTTCTGCTTCCTCTTGACTAAAAAGTAGACTAGAATACCTAGGTGCCCTAACACTCTTTGGGTCAGACCCGGCTACCAAGCAACCAACACTGATTTTCCAGCCGCCTAACACTGATTGGCTTGGCACGTGTTCTGCATCACAAGGAAATAACGTGCTGTAGCACGTGACAATAATCTGTAGGGTGGCATTTGCCTATCATGCGTCCATCCCACTCATATAAATGATTTGCTATACATCTTATGGATCGCACAAATGGAAATAAAGCTTATTCACGACGACATCATCCCACATTATGTTGCACGAACCTACCTTGTTTTATTTCCCCGTGTACCATAATGCTACATCTGCCAACTTGATGATGCAAAGTGACAGTTCCATCGTAACGAGACGACCTAAACGCGGTGTGATGGCTTGCGTGCCTCAGCGGTCCATTGGGCTATACTGCGTGGTGCTTTTGCCCCTACAGAGCCACTCATACCAAGCTGGCCAATGGTCAGAGACCTGAGGAGCTCAGTCTCCTGGCCCTCCAGCTTGGAGATTGGTGTGAGGACGGCTCTTTAATCCATAAAACGACTCTCTGTAGTTCAGTGCCAAAACTCCGCTGCCATGCGGTCAGGTTTCTGAGCCAAAGACTTTAGTTGCGACCCCAGTCGTTCTTTTGTCTAGGTCTGGGCAACTTGACAGTATCCTGCCCACGAAATGCAACCTTACGACGTCTCCTTCGAATAATTTTTGATGCTCTAGACTCCGCCGCATATAATAAATGGCGCCCTATCTTCTGCATCGAGTAGTGTGGATAGGGGTTTGGATGCTACTGCTCAAGTTTACTCATCTTCTTCCCACTCTTGAGCTTTTTCATCCTTATCGTTACGCTCCAACTTCAATGTGCGCATCTGGTTGCAAAGTGGCCAACAGGTAGCAATTGCCCGGACACTGGAGACCTTATCAATCGATAGCTGCTACATGTCAGAAACTCGCTTGCAGGATTTGAGTTCTGTGATTAGCTCACGATCCGCAATTTGCGAAACTGGCGGTATTTTCTCATTGCGTTCGTCCAGAAATGAAGCGGCTTCAAATGCCGGTTAAATCGGTTTGGGTATTGCTGTTAGCCCCCTGGCTGAATCTGCCTTGATCGACGGAATCCCTGTCAACAGCCGGATGTGCGCTGTTAGATTGGCTGACTGGTTCAAACATCGAAGTTGCGTAGGTACAGACGCTGTTGCGGCCTATGCGCCCAAAACCTGTAGCACTGACTCGGTGCAAGACGACTTCTGTCAACAATAAAATAAGCTCTTCCGTCACAGAAAAATACGCATACTGTGGTTCTGGCTGGTGATTTGAACGCCCAACTCGGAAAACTGTCCGTTGATGGGCTTCTTCTAGGCCGTCAACATGGTGTAGGCTCCCCTACCGATAGCGGTGAGCGCTTGTGACACCTGCGTGAAACTGCACGTCTATTTCTAGCGAGCACTAACTTTAAGCGCAGCACCCGCCGGAGGATGCCATGGCACCCAGCAGCCAAGGACGCAAATCGATCACATTGCGATCATTTAGCACTGGAGTGGTTGCGTACAAAAACTGCCACTCGATTTCGAGTACAAGAGCGGACCACACACTTCTTTGCGCCGATCTCCGGGTGCGTTTCGAGGAACGTCCGTAACAGCCCTGTGAATGCTTGCATATCTGCCAGCTGGTAAAGCCAGATGTTCTATATGCGTATCAAAGTACGCTGGCATCGTACTTGAGTAAACGTTCATTGAACACAGTTGAAGATCACTGGTCGCAAATCCGCTAGACGTTGTTAGCAGCAGGCATATCTTCATGCGGCAAATTAAATCCCCAACCTCGATACTGAGTTTCTATGCAGCCCATGGGACTTCTGAATGCTCGCCGGCGTGTTCCGGCTAGATGCGAATACAGTGAGACTCACGAAGCTCTCAGGACGGAACATTGTGCTAGCCTGAAGAGAGACCACGAAGTCTGGTGGTTTCATTATGCCTCGGAGATGGAAACAGTCGCTGCCCTTGGTAACTATCGGAAGTCATTCCGTCTGATACGAGAAACAAGCTGCCGGAAACCTGGTGTTAACATTACCATATGCGATGCGAGTGGACTGCCGATCCAAAGCTTGTCAAAGCGCTTGGCACATTGGGCCGAATACTTCGAGATGCAGTTTAATCAGAGTTGCTAGCTTCGCCATCGGCCAATGAGCGCCATGCTCCCTGGGCCGTCCCTTTTATGCGTCCTCACGATCAGAAATCGAAAGTAAGACCAGACTGTTGGAATTGAACAAGGCCGTCAGAGCAGCTGAATTTCATCCAGTCCTCTTCAAATTTGAGGAGCCTGCTCTTTTGGGCAATTTACGTAACCTATTGGCGAATCTATGGAGACAGGAGACAGTCCAGACAGACTGGAGCCGCCCCGTAATAGTTTCAATTTTCAAAGGAGGCTCCCGTTCGGAATACGACAGAGGAATCAGTCTGCTCTCTATTGCCACTAAGTTAATTTCCTCTGTCGTCCTTCATAGGCGGACTAGCATCCATGAAAGCCAGCCAGATGCTCAAAGCTCAAACTGGATTTTGTCGAAATCGTGGCTGCATTGACCGCATCTTCACATTGCGTTAGTTGTTGGAGCACCGCCATGTTTGTTTGCCGTCCACCGTAGTCTTGTTTCTAGACATCAAAGGGGCCTTTGGTTTGATTGATCGATGTACCCGTTGGGAGTGTCTAATGAAGAAGGGTATGCCAGAGAAATATGTAAATGTCATAAAAGCGTTGTACATGCATAGTCCGGGAGAAGTGCGGGTTTACTGCAAACCTTCGCCACCCTACAATATTTCCAGCGGTATGAGACAAGGTTGCAAGCTGTCATCTTTCCTCCTTGATTTTGCCAATGACGAAGTTATGGAAAGGGTGTTCGCTTGTCATGACTTAGAGGGTGTGGAGCTGCTCCCTTATGATCGACTTGCGGTGTTGCGACGAAATTGCGCTCCTCTGTGACAGCACCCGAACGTGCCGCGTTGCACTAGATAAATTAGCTCTGGCTGTCCTTTGTTTCGGGCTGTGCTTTGCTCCATCGAAATACAAAGTTCTTCTCTAAGGTTGGCAGGGACCCACTCCTGCACGGACCTTTGGTGGTAATCATCTAGAACTCGTCGAGAAATTCAAGTATCTAGGCAGCTATATCAGCGCCAGTGGAACGGAAAATGAGATCACGAACCGTATAGCAAAATCTCGATGTGGTTTTTCTAATCTCCACTATCTGTGGCAACGGCGTAACATTACTCTCTCTTTGAAGGGCAAGGTTTACAATACAGTCATCTGTAAGACCCTCCTGTACGGTTGGGAAACCTGGCCCTTCAAGTCGATATACATAAGGAAGCTAGTTACGTTGGAGCAGCAGTGCCTTCAGAGCTTTGCTCGTGTCTGGTGTGCGCACCACGTGAGTAAAGAGCGCGTTCGGCGTCCCATATTTGGTGCAGGAAGAGCGAGTAAGCCGCTCAGCACCGTAATATCACGCGACATGCATTGTTGGCGCGCCGGGGGTGTGAATGGAAAAAGAGGAGGGAAGGTCGGGCAATGACTTGGTCAAAAGTAATCAAGTTCCTTTCTTCGAAGTTGGCGTCGTTTGGTGTTTCCCGACTGCTTGGCTGGAGACCGAAATAGGATGAGCACGTTTGGTTGAATACACTAGCCGATATGGCGATGAGTCGACATCAGTGACGTTTGTATTGTAAGTCTCTCTGTTGCTCCCCTTCTCTTTAGCTTTCCACGCTAACAACGATCACAACTGTGATACTAGCATTATGTTTTTGATAGCCTTCAAGTCTACGTTACTTAGTGTGTTACCTTTGTGTGTTGCGGCACCTTAGCCGAGGTGTATTTCTCACCCTCGGCTAACGTGTGTTGATGAAAGTGACGCCTTAACAAATGCTCCGCGTCACATCTTCGTCACCCCACAAAAGTATAGACATGATAAGTTCACTTTATTGTTGTTCTCGCCCCACGTGTCACGTTGCGGTTCAGTGTCTATCGAGCACTAACTGATTAGTCACCCACCTGCCAACCCCGGTTTGCTTCTTCGTTGAGTCGTCGTGAACGCCTTCCACCGGGTAATACGGCGCAATATACCAGGCTACTTTGGTATGCAAATAGACGACAACTGCAATCAAATGGGATGGGCTACGAATCAACGCAGTTAGAGCAATGGGTCCATACTTTCGAAGTTTACACTTCTCTGATCCGCTTTTTGAAAGCATTCTCTTGACATGCGACCAGTAGCTCATTATACGCTTCACAATCCTTTTAGATCGCATCGTTGATATCTTGCGTTATGCTTCTCCTGGTACTGACCGTCATTGGCCCGGTGTTGCAATCAGTGCCCATGGTAAGTTGCATTGGTTGATTACATTTTTCACTTTTTCTTACCGCAAGGTTCGAGTCGGCAATAAACTCAGATCACGTAACTGCTTTGCATTGCCCACCCTTCAGCGAACCCACAAAGCCTACGATGATCCTGTGCCTTATCAAACTGGTAGTATTAATGTTGTAGCCTTCACCTTATGCATAGCCCAATTTGACCCTTTTCTATCATATTACTGGTTCGGTTCCTTCATATTCGATTGTGTGGCAGTAAGACACTGGGACAAATTATTGATGTACTGTCTTCATGGAGATTGACGATTAGTAACTTGCCATTACCTTGATTCTCTTGTTTTACTTGTGTCTATCCGATTTCCTGCCCATTCGGGCCTTTTCCGAGCACACATCTTTCAACTTTTTGACCAGTTCTTACAACTCGCACCTCATACGACTTCATCCAAGTGTTCAGCATCGGTCACAGCTGATGGCCTCACCAACGAACACGTTTCCTATTTACAGTGCCGAATCGTTGACACTGCAAACTCCACCGTTACTTACCAAAGCATTTTGCATGCATTGATTATATAAGGGTAGGATAAGGCGTTAGTTTGGCTGGATTGTCCAACTTATAGCCATTTCGACTTCCTTCGGTAAACCGATTGCACCTGATCTGTTAAATTGTTGACTTGAGGACTAGTGCAAATCGATGCTACCGATTGATAGGGGACTAAAACGATCAAAGTCACTGTCCCGACACAAGTACGGGGCCTAGTTGTATACACATGCTAAAATTCGTTCACGAGTGGTCGAAAATTAGTACACTAACACACCTGAGTTGTTTTGTCCCTTGATGACCTTGGCTGCTTTAACTTGATGCAAATAGAGCAGTAGAGTTAGTTACGTAGTTAAACAACGGACCTGTCTTCTTTATTTTGATATCCTCCTCAGCCGTAGGGAAGACGGACAAAAGCGAGTCTGTTTACCGAAAAACAACGTGGTCCGGCAAGTATCTGCAATTTGTTAGTTTCAAGCCAGTGCGGTAAAAATGGACGCCTGTCGAGATTCCATTTGCTCGTGCCAAACGAATATGCTCAACCGATTGGCTGGTAGGTGAGCTAGAGCTGATTACCAACACGCTAGTTGCGACTGGCTATCCCCGGAGCTCCATCGAGAGGCACAACCAAATTAGCAAAATTAGTGGTTCGGTGCCCATCGTACCTAAAATGATATTCTTAGAGCTGCTCTTTCAGATTGACATTGCCACACTGAGGACTACAGAACGTCTGATCTCTGCCACGCAGAGCACTTTCTGGGCTGCCAAAGTTGCTGTCATCGACCGAACTCATAAGCCACTGCTCCGTCTACTGAAAGAAATTCAGCCTATCAAGGCCAACTCTCATTGCGTATGCCAACTGTTATATAACTCCGGAGCCAGTTACATAGGCAGGAACGAGAAAACCCTGAGTTCCCGAATAAAAGATCATGTGCCAAAATGGGTTCAATGCTAGCCTGCGCAGCAAGTACATTTAAGTCACGTGTTTACGCAAGCCCCCGGCATCTTCAATCAGCAAACACTTGTTGACCCCGAATCATCGGATTGTAGTCAAGGCGCTGTTTAGGATCCTGCTACGCCATACCAATTTCCGGCCACTTCGGTCTGCTAAGGCTGTTGCAATAAGCCGGCTTAAACCGGTACTTTGTGTGCAAAAGCAACTATCGGTCAGTCTCAGGTTGCCCTGGATGTAGAGTCAAAACATCCGCTTTTCCTCTTGTTTGTCTTGTATGTATGCCTGCACCCACAAATGACTATATAATTGCCAGCAATCTCTATCGGCGCTGACAAGACGCTGAGAAATGCATGCACCTGCCGAACTTTGTCTCCACACTCTACTCTTCAAATCGGCTTATATTTTCCTTAAGCGTATTCACTCTCCAAGTTATGCCTAAAATATTCAGGATTGCGTTTCAATCTACTTTACACATGTACGGTTTTGCGGCGCTTGCTTCACAAGCCCTGCAGGCCTTGGCATAAAACCCACGCCATTGGACAACATTTCGCGGCATGCCGCCAGGGTATAGGTCGTCTGCATTCTAATCCATAGATCACCGGTTCGAATCCGCGTTTGATGTTGGAGACCTCGTAGTATACCGAGCCCACGTGCGACCATTGGGGATCGCTTGGCAGCGAAGCGTTGGTAAGGTGTGCCGGCGTGTTACTTATGTCTTTTTGCGAAATATGCCGCTGTAGCAACACACTTTCCGACTCTAGGCTCTGGTTCCAAGCGATACACAGCGAGCGCAAAGGACAAACTGAGCCGGTAGGTGTCACCGTATGTGCGTCTTTAATGGTACATTGCACTGTATCAGCCACTAGTGGCAATACGCTGTCGTTGTCTGCACGCTTACTGATTCCAATAATCAAGAGCATCATTTATAGCATCCTTAAGCAAATGGACCGGTCTAAGTGAGTCTGAATCAAAATGCAATGCGACATTTTGATTGTCTATTGAGCGCTCTGACCCATTGTTGAATTCACATACCTGTGTGGGCAGGGTTCGAGCTTAGACAACCACAGTATCCTATCTTTCCACGTCTTGGGTTGGAATCATCCTGGACCCATTTCAGTAAAATCAAATCATTGCTACCTTCCTACCCAGCTATCATCAAATCTTCGGTTTAATTCACTGACCGCCCCTATCTAAGTTTTGGTGCTCGGATAGTATTCTAATCTAGATATGGTTACCAATTTCTTCCAAGCCTTCGGCTGCATCTTGCATCTGTCGTCGCCTCTTTTCAGAATGGTAGCCTTATTTACCGCTAGCCTAGCTCCCCTATGGGTGGTTTGCGGCGCAAACAGTATGGCTTACCTTAGTTACCGCACCACGAAATCATTCGCTTGATCAACGTTGTCGAAAAATGAATACTTTGTATAGGTTTACTGACCTATTAAACTCAAATTCGCCAATTTCTTGACAGTTCCCCCATAGTCTTGCTGTTAGAACTGGTAGAACCATCGAAAGCTACCTTGTTTACCACACGACGAGCATAGAAGTACACAAGCTTATGGCGTAAGTTGCACTGGAATCGGACATCAAACAGCTTCTGTGTTTGGATAAAAGTTGTTGCCCGCCCGAAAACACTGCACACAACGAAGCGTTTCGATCTCATTTGATCTCCTTAGATGGAGAAAGCAGGCGTCGAACCCAAGACCATTAATATTGCGCGTCGTAATCTATTTACACGAGGACTACTTCAAACGGACTCTCCAATCAGCTTCAGTGTGCTTCATTCATGGGCTTTTCAGTTGATTTCTTAGACATTCTTTTGCAAAGAACTTTTTTAACATGCCAAACAGTCACCAATTCTATCATCGACCTGATTTGTTTGCGCCAGTCGATAATTTGTTGTAATTCTGGAACGCGTCATTGTTCCGCAGTTTTCCCACGCTAGATATTTCCACCTGCATCATCTCGAATTATTGGGGATAAGGCTCTAGCCGCGAGTTAGGTATCCCTGGCCTACCACTGACAACCCCATCCAGGTGTGTCATCACATGTAGCAGCGGAACCTTCAGGAAAAATTATCCAGCTCTGGATGCCAGCCTCCACGCTTTTGCAGAGATTTCGCCGACCTTTTGCAAATCTAGTATCTTCACTGTGACTTTTGAACACACCAAGTAGTTGGACGTGTACCTGAGGGGTACGATCACCACAGCGGTCACAGTATGAAAGTAGCAACATTTGCTTCCGGAACAAAATTCTTGACTACAGATGACGTTGCAAAGTTTACCTCTAATGGAGGTAGTGCTTCCTGTCAACTTAGCAACACTAGCCACATTATCGGTTGCATCTTAGTCATCCATAACACTACGGGCACGCGGAAAGCTTCATGCACAGCTTGGGGTTGTAAGAACCAAAGGCAACCGTGTTCATCAGCTCTGACTACCAAATGCTTTATCCACCTGCGGTCTTTCTCCTGAAGGTTGTGTGGCGCACGCTGTGTCTGTACTAAATTTGTCTGCATCTATACACGTATATGCGGCTCACCAAACTTCTTCTACCGGAAGTTTGTTAAGGTCAGCTGTTAGTCCGCTATTGTCAGATATTTCTTGTCCTTTTATACTACTCACTATCGGCACAGTAGTATCTGTTTCTGTCGACCACGTCGTTCCGTAATTAAACTCCAGTCAGAAATGTTGACAGTATACATGCAACCATTTCTGTCAAATTATCGAGATACGCCAAACACCGCTTCGCCAGGTGACAAATCTTCATTGGAAGCCATGTTCGACGTGAAATACGCCTACGAGCTAAGGCAGTGCACCCCAAGATTATGTAGTCGCTCCATGCATCAGGCGCTAGCAGGAGTTTTCTTCCAGTTGAACCGGTGCATGCGTTTGATCCATGACCGAACCAACGAACAGAGAAAACTGTAATGGTAAGAAAAAAACAAACGAAGTGTAGTACGAGGTGTGCAGCTGACAGCAGTCATCTGCTCGGCAAATTAACCAGCTCTACAAGGGACGCATCGAACGCACAATCTCCCTCGCCTCTGAGCTGCGGTTGGATGATGTACTGCTTTACACGTTTGAGTTGCCAAAAGCTTCGGAGTCCAGCTAACCGACAGAAGTGCGTACTGGGCTCTGCATAGGACTTTCCGGGGTTGCATGCAGGTACCTCAATTGATGTAATGTTTATAGATGAACACGGCACTTCATTCCTTCGGGCAGGGTGAACAACTTGTTTTCGTCGGGGGAATGTTAGGTCCGCCGAACTGGTTCCCATAAGTAAAAGGCCATTACACGGCTATAGTCACGAGCTACACTCACATTTGCTGCTCGGTTGTGGTTCATGTGTAAGAGGTCGCCGAGTATGTGAGGCGGCCTGTCTGATGCGCTCTCCTACATTAACCTCACTATGTTGCCGGCTTTATCGCCTGTTCCGTGTGACAATTTTTAATCGTTGATCTAATTGCTCCAGTCCCCATCAACTGCAACTATAACAACTTACTGTTGATGCTCCTCTT